CCCCCAGTTTTTATTGAGATATAGTTGGCATATAAATGTTAACTTGAATGCTTTATTATTTTTCAATTAAGTATGACTATCGGTGATTTTGCATGTCATTGTTACTAAATTTTCAGCTTTCAACAACTGACTTTTCTTGTACCATACTCATTTGGGCAGAAAGAAACCTGAATGATTTGGGTCACGTTATGGCCCTTTGCATCTACTAATTGGGTCTTAATATGGTCAACATCTGCTCAAATCTGAACATCAAAGGGATTTTTTTTGGTTTTTTTATCTTAAGAAAATGTCTGAAAAGAAATCATTTATGAGTTTGTGTGTATGTGTTTCCCCCATTCTACAGAAGCTGTTTTCCTTGGGTGCAGGAGACAGGCAGCTGATCCAGACTCCTCTGCACGATAGTCTTCCTGTCACAGGCACTAGTGTGGCTCTTCTGTTCCAGCAGTTGGGTATGTCTTTTCTCCGATTTTTGATGTCTCTTGTGGAAGCCTGTAAAGAAAACATTTCTTTTAAGCTCATTTCACCTGACATGAATCAAGAAAATAGAAAGCAAACCATTAAATGCCTGATATATAAAATATATAATTACATGGGTAGTATTCTTTAAAAAAGAACAACATACTTTAACCCTGGCCCCTTTTGCTCTGGAGTCAATTAGACTTTTCAAAAGTAGACATATTTTCTTTATGCTTTAAGAGATGACTAGATAGTGTATTTTGCTTTTCCTTAGCTGAATTACTTTTGCAGAAACTTTGTCAGAGGGACTGAAAACCTTGCCGTCCGTATCCCATCAAGGGCAGGGTGAAGACTTGCAGGGAGAACACGAGAAAGCGCTCTGCATTGGGCAGCTTGTATTTAATAAGGAGCGAGAGAACTGAACAGTAAGGGTGTCAGAGGTTCCCTTTGCTTTAACTCTTGTCCTTCAGATATGCCTGCGTGTGAGTGTCCCACTCTCGTCGTTCAGCCTTTGTCATTATCCTCCGTCTATGTTTGTCTTTTTCTAGTTATACTGAAACCTTTCCTCCCCTGGGGCTCATACTCTGCTTCTCCATAGAATTCTTAGTTCCTTGCACACATTTTGCTTCTTGCCCACTTTGTAACATCACTTTTTTTTCATTAGTGGCTTCACACTTATTCTTCTGCTGCTATTTCAGTCAAATTTAGAAAGCCTTAGAAGAGATTAAATATTAGCACAGTTTTCTAGTATCCCAAAGCAGGGGTTCGGGACTTCCCCATTACATCTGCCTCCCCTCAATAGTTCAAGCTCTAAACTCTTCCTCTCTTCCCCCTGAAAGTTTCTACTCAGTGAGGCACCTCAGCTAAGTCCTAATTTAATTAAAGCTATTTTCTTTAATGTGTGAAATAGGTTATATATGGTGGCACTTATCCCTCTATAGCATACCTTGCTGATCAAATCCTCCCTCTACTCACTTTTGAAAATAATTTTAGGGGTTCATGGACTACCTACAGCCTGTCCATGGTCCCCACAAACCATTGACTTAATTGATTTTAGCCAAGCACTATTCACTTGCCTTTTTTACTTTTAGAAGAGGCTATCTTCCTCTAAGGGGTCAATCAAATCAAAAATCTCCCCTGAAGAAGAATAGAAAGATATGACACAATAAAATAATGCACATTTTCAAATGCTACCATTTATATTATACTTAATGAGTGTCTTATAAACTCTCATGCTTTAAGTTTTACAGTGATTTAGGGGGAGGAGAGGGATTTTTACTGGCATTTAGTGCTCAGGACCAGGGATACTAAACATTTTTCATTCATGACATACATGCACTAGAAGAATCTTTGCCTCAAATACTGGTAGTCCTCTCACTGAGAATAATTGCTATACATAAAATGTAAATTTCTAAAACCCGGACCTCTCTTCCAGTAATGGTAGCTTATGTAATTCACACTAACCCTCTTAACACTGACTACTAGAAAAGCTGTACAAATATGAACAACATCTCATCTAAAGGCATTGGAGGCAGTTAAAGAATTACCAAACCATGGTCTAAGAGAAGCATAAAACCTAGAGAAGTGAGCCAGACATTTGGGACCAATTTTTCCCAGAGCGCCTGTTGATTTTGGGAGAAGTAACTGAAGAGCTGGTCAGCACTATTGATATCCCATGGGGAAGGGAAAGTTTGAGTTCCATTTTACCAACGGAGATTCTTTTGTAAAGCTCTCGTGCTTTGAGTTGGGACCATAAAGGACCAAACCTAGCAGGAGTTGGTAAGTCGCAAGTCCACAAGCTCCCTGAAGACCTGACATATAGCTGGAAATCACTTCAGTTCCTTGAAATGCACTAAGTGATTCTGGATGCTGTTGTCTCTAGCCATACAGAAGAAGTAAAAGTAAATTTTCTCTGGAACAAGATAGCTGCATTCTAGGCCTTCAGTATGCCTATAAATTTATATATACTTCTACATACATATGTAGTATATATGCCTAGCACTCAGCCCAAAGCAACCAGAAACAGGAGGACTAAACCTATGTGAATGAGATACAGGAGAACCGTAGACAATACAAAACACTCACACTAACCAGAAAGTAGTTACCACATTCAGATAATAAAATAGCTATGCTTAAAATAGTGAAGGTGATAAACAGTCAGGAATAAGAATTTGGGGAGTAACATTAGCAAGATTGCAGAATAGGAAGTCCCAGTCCTTGCTCTCCCACAGAAACATTGATTAACAATGATAGACCAAAATACCTTTATGAGAATTCCAGAAGCCAGTTTTAAGAAGTTGTAGTAGCCCAGACAATCACAAAGCTGGGATCAGCCACATTGAAACGGGTGAGAAGACCAATTTCACTTTAGCAGGTCAACCTCTCCCCCAAGCCAGCACAGGTCAGTGCTGAGAGAGCGCCCCAGCTTGCAGCTTCTCTTTGGGGGAGGAAAGGAGAAGAGAGGTGTGTGTGTCTAGTGTTGTGGGTTATGGAGGGCCACCCTGCCAAAGGGACTGGTTTCTGTCCTGCCTCATGTGGAGTACTGACAGAGTCAGCATAGTTTGGATACCTGAGGGCCACTAGGAACAAAGAGGATTGAGGGGGGTGGCTTGCTGCAACCATTACCACTTGGAATAATTGGGAGCAGGTGCATGACATGAGGCTTATCCCTCAAGGAGGAAGAGGAGCTTTAGCCTTCCAGCCTTTCAGAGGGCTGTCTGAGTACTGCAGAGCTGTGGAGGAGCTGGAACCTTCAGTCACTGCTAATGGAACGGGAATGGGACAGCTACCTTGGAACACAGTTTGACTTTAAGAAGTTAAATAAACCAAGTAATCCAGCCATCCCAGGAGCCTCTAGATTAAAAGAGATTTAAAACATCTCATTTTTAACGAGTGAGATCGAACTACAGTGTCCAGGGATGCTCATTTGGGTGATAAAAAATCAGGAAAATGGTTAATAGAAAAAGGTCAAGATAATGGTCACTATGGCAGTAAAGAGGTGGTCATGATTGGTGCACATGGAAGGGGCTTCTGGAGTTGCTGGCAAAATTATTCTTGATCTAGATAGTGTTTATAACATAGCCACTAAGTCGTGCATTTGATTTGTATGGTTTTCTATATTTGTGTTTTGTCTTGCAATAAAAATATTTTTTCAAACTTGTAAAACCATGTAACTCTTTATATATATAACTTATTTTTTAAAGGAAGTGCTAGAACAAATTAGATTTTATTCTTTTCAAATAACAAGAGATGTAGAGGTAGGCAGTGCAAGGCTGATATATTGATTCCCAAGTATCTGCAGGGATGGTATGGAAATTCTGCTCTGTTTCCCCCTATTTATTAATATGGAGTTTCCCCTTACTAGACTATGAGCTTCAAGCTTTTATGATAAGAGAATAGTAAAAATAATTAGAACTAATTCTCAGTGTCCTGTATGTCTGGCACAGTGCCTTGAGCACAGAGGCATCAGTGTTTGTTGAATAAGCGAATGAACATGCTAGCCGTGAAGAGAGTGGCCGTTTCATTTCATTAGGAGATACTCTGTGAATGGGTGAAGTGTGCCAAAACACATGCGGATTCGTCACTGAAGATCAAATTTCATTATCTTACTCTCAGATACTTTGTGCTTAATGATCTTTTGCTTACATACTCAAAAGTTACTTCTTCAGGGAAAGAATAAGGAAAAGATAAGATGAGAAGGGAGAAAGCGAGCTGCCTGGGAAACCGCTGCGTGCAGAGTTTCGTTTGCAGAGCATGCGGTGCTGATAACTGTCTGAAGCTGCTCTTATCAGCAGCCGCCCAGTTGCACTGTCATTGAAAGCCAGTGTTAGACCGTTACCAGAGTTCACTACCTGGGTTGGGGGGG